TACGCCCAGCGAGTATAACGTAGACAACCCTTTCTTGTCAGATAGTGCGCACTGTACATGCCAATGGCTGCTAAGGGGGAATGAGAGACAGGAGAATTCGGCTTTTAGTTAACGCGTACGCTGCGAATTTTTTATTGTTCAACAACGCACAGAAGAAATCTCCCACCGGCACCACCTTGGAGGTCAAAATGTAAGACTAGTTACACACTACGAGTACTACTACTACTACTACTACTACTACTACTACTACTACTACTACTACTACTACTACTACTACTACGAGGGACGAATGGTGCTGTTTTAAGGAGCTTCGCCCCTCAAAAATGATTCTGAATACGGGGGAAGATAGTGCACAATTTATTTTCTCTTTACTTTGATGGCGTTTAGCTTCTTGCAAATGGCGCCACGTAAATTCTACCCTTTGATCGAGCTGCTGCGCCCCGCCATCTACAAGCCAACTACTCCGTGGTGGCCATGTTGCCACAGACCCACAGGCACGCACTCGTTTGTATGTGGCGACAGGATGTCAGTACAATGAAAAAATCAAATATAAACGATGAACCTGGATATATAGAAGTGCTGGCGTCCCTTCTGGGCACCGCTGATTGGTTCCAGGAGCTTTGCGACTGCAGTCGCGCGACCAAAAAATCGGTCAGGAAGCGACTAGCCAAAGCAGTCGCTTTGCAGCCGTTTGTGACCGTTCGCGACTGTTTGCGACCAGTCGAAAATGGTCGCGCGACCGCTTCTAGTCGCCGGTAGGAAACAACCTTAACTTCTGCCTTCTTCGGTTCGAGTAGGAGAATTTTCCTGAATTTTCTGGTGTGTTTATGATGACACACCGTGCCGTCATTAGACGCCCACAAGCAATCGCCTTTAAAAGGTGCCTCACACCTACAAAGGTCCTTTTATGCCACACAATTAAACAATATTGTCATTTTTTTCCATCAACCAACGAATGTTGCTCAGCATGAGGTATAGTCCACGTTTTAGAGTGCTTCAGTGGTGAACTAGAGGGCGCGATTTAATATTTTCTGCTGTAAATTTCACTCAGTATAGCTCGACCAGTGGAATGGTTAAACGCCAGGAATCATTGATTTTTTCGATCGCACCCTTCAGGAGCCTCCTTGTCGTTCTTTAACATCCTTGACCTTATAGCGGTCGTTTGTGCCCTGATCATTTGTTTATTTGTCTATTGTTTTCATCGCACCCTCGAAGCCAGATGCATCTTGAAGGGGAGTGGTAAAAAAGTGTGTTGCTTCGAAGGTTGACCGAGCGCAACGATTTCTTTGAACACATCGTACATGTAAAAATTAAAAACAGGCAGTCTCGCACAAGGAAGAATGGAACAGCCTTCTTTGTAAATGGAAAGGAACAGGTGCACAAAAAACAAACAAACAAAAAAGGAAAGCTGTGTCTGTCTCATCAAAGGTCAATACAAGGTCTTCATTGTCGGTACGAAGTCAGAAAGCCAGCTTTGCACAAAAAGGACTGTTATCACTGATATTTTTTTTTACTGTATTCAGTCTGTGTGCTTAGATTTACCCTCGGGCAAGCTCACTCATTAGTCGAATCACTCACGTGAAGCCATGAGTCCGGATGAGTAATATGTTAATGTCCGGTTCGGAAAAGTAAGTCTGACACTGTCGAGAGGATCCCGTGTAGGTTGGTTAATAAATTGATGACGAAACGGCCATCAAGTATAAAGGAGCCCGTTTGGGAACGCGCGCACACTCAAACTAAATGTATTTACAGGATGCCAAATACAAAATCAAACACTCAACCTGCACAACCCAAACTGATTAACTAGCTTGGGCCAAACGTGTGAGTCGTATCACCACTCGTGATGAAGCGTGTATACTGTCAACGTCGGCAAAGCACAGGAGGCAGCTGCGGTGGCGACGCTCAGAGAGGGGGCAGATGGACGCACCAGGTGAGTCAGCGGCCTGTCGTCGCTCGCCAGCGGAGGACAGTCGGAGAGACGCCTGGCCGACGCCATGCGATGAGAAACGTGAATCCGGCCGACGCCAGAAGCTCGTGGAAAGGCCCGCCTGCTGCAGCCGTAGCACGGGTACTCCGCTGGCGGCCACCTCCCTTCTTCTTTCTTTGGGTGCTTCTCAAACAGCGTGGGATACTCTCATTGGTCGAATTTCCTGACCTTACCTCCGACTGCACCTCATCTTCCTCGCGGAATACACGAAACAAGCTCGTGTCAGTCGTCATCATCTGTCTCGCGCTGTTGCACTCATCTTCAGATTTAGGTGCACGTTGCCTTTAAGAACCCCGGATTGTCAAAATTTCCGTGAGTCCTCTAGTGAGACATCTTTCATAATCATGTGGTGGTTTTGGGACGTAAGACCTCAATAATTATTATTAATCAAAATAGGCATTTCTGGAAATGGTGTACTTTGCCTTGTGTACGTTGTCGTCGTCTCGTATTCCTTGGTGACACATTCTGTAATACATGTGTGCTTGTCAATATCCCGCCGAGTCTCAATGCGAAGGAACTTCCTTCCCAGATAGTTGCTGCTACCTCGATTTCTCTCTGCAATGTTGCCGCTCAGTCAGAAGCGCCTTACCACCAGGCAAGGAATTGCTTTCGGAGCGAGCCCGCTTTCTTAAGACCTTGAATATTCAGAAACACAGCTATTTTCATAACCTAGTTTCGGTTAAACGTCCTCCTGCGTCAAGACTTCGAGTGGTGGGTGAGGCTAGAGTGCCCCCTACTCTTTGGCTACGGGCCTGCTCACTACAATTAATGTACAAGCCATGCGGGAAGAGAGCGGCTCCACAGCGAGAGAGAGAGAAAAACAAACATATTTGATCCCTCCGTCATAGGAATAGGTAAAACAAGAAAGTTAAACGTGTCCTTACAGTAGTTGGATGTTTACTGTACATTGATAAAAAGAGAGCTTGCGCAATGGTCTATTCGTAACTTTCACGACCTATTGGTGGCGCGACTATACATCCACATGGCGGTCGTTGAGAGGATCGCCCCGAAAGAGACGATAGCGGAAAGTACACTTTCGGCGACGACTGCAGCTCTTCGCGCGCTTCGGTGACCCTTGGATTAATGTTTTTGAGAAAATAGGGGAGCGCTAACATACTAAATTAAGTTTTTCTGTAGCTTTCCAGAAGCCGTTCACTCAAAAATAAATGCCCGGTAGCACAGGTACGCTGGCTGTACGTAATCGCGCGCAACGCTGCACAAATTGCTGCAGATGTGAAGAGATGTGTAATGACGCGATGATCGTTCTCAAACCGGTCCTCTCATTCTGTTCTAGAAGCGGAGCGCAGACGGCGAGAACTGCAAACATGGAAGTTGCTGTACTGGTGCAGAAAATAGGTGCTGCATAGCACCCATTCATGGGCCTTAGTTATTGTCTGCTAAATTTAACCCTCCTAACCCCTGATGGCTTTTTTGGGCGATTATTTGAACGGGACGCTTAATTTTTCTCCTGGTGTAAATATGAGCATCGAGGTTTGCAGTGAAACTTTTTACTTCTACTTTCTCTTTAACTAGAAAAACTAAAAGGGTTATGGTAATATCGATACCATTCACAACGTTGAAAAACGACCACAAACGCATCAAAACTAGCAGCAGCGTCTGCGGTTTGAAGCAGGTTAAAAACTTCCATCATCTCAACAGAGCTTCCGACCGCTCAGCGGTGCCACGATACCTTGAAGTTGCGAATCGATGTTTGGCAGCTATATAACACCGCTTAACGTGCATGCATGCTGAGGACCCAGAGGGACCCTCGACGACGGAACTTTTTTCTTTGTCTTCTGATTATGCGTATTTTTCGGCGTCACTTCCGCGACGAAAGTGCGTCATTGAAGTCTTGGTGGGCCCCGGCATAAAGCACTTTCTTGTTAAAAAGTAACTACGCATCATAACGGCCTCACACTGTGGCAGGTTAATCAAATTGAGCAAGCCCGCTGTATGAGGAGCTATTCTCTCGAAAGATCTCGAGCTTGAGGGGCACGATACAACGGCACGAAGGGATCTCGAATCCTTTTCCTTTGCAAGCTTTCTCGTGCAGTTGAGATCACTCATCTCCTGACATCGCGACTTTGGCAGGAAAACAGTCGCCCATCACCGACTCAAACGGGGTTTTACGTTGACCGTAATTCAGAGTTGTCATATGCTACTCGGTTAACGAACGAATGTTCACCACAAATGAAGCCCAAAGAAATGGGTGTGCAATACATTTTCTCACTGTTATGCTTAATTTGAGAATGGTTAGCGCACAAGACACAATATATAGACACGTAGACGACAGATGTCTTACGCACTCCCATTTTAAGTTGTTCATTCTTACCAACTTGCCGCACTTATTAGTTTTAATGTTTTATTGATACCTAAAATGTAAATCAAATTCAAAGAGGAGTTCCAGAGTCGCGTATGATTTATTTATTAAAATATGCGCAGCAACGAATGAAACCACATATTTACGTTTCAACATAATCTCCCTGGTCCTTTGGTTGAATGGGTGTTTGCACAATTAACGTTACTCCTTGATTCCCTGTTTAATTGATAAAATAACTACATTTGCGGGGAAAATTCAAATAAGCTCGAAAATGCGACAAGTGATTGGCACATTCTGCAAGCACCTCAGAGACGATCTGAATAATATTAGCGGAACTCTGGAAGCCACAAATATAAACGCGAGCTGCTCTTTCTTGGCTTAACGCCTCACCTAACCGCTGCAAATCTCGCTTTGCGCTCTTTCAAGCATTCGTGTTTAGTAGGAAATGTTTTAAACGTGCGTCTCTTCGCTGATGAAAAATTCATAAAAATCGGTAAACTGATAAAAAAATGACAAAAACTGACTGATGACGCCATGTATGTGCCCCGTACTTTTCCCATTTTTTTTTTGTCCGCTGTGTGGTTGCCGAGAGGTTGGCAAGCTGACAACGATGCTGGGCGCGGACGGACATCAGTGCCCGCGAGTAATGCGTCGGTCGATGCATGCTACCTTTCGAGTACATGGCCCTCTTACTCACAAGACGAGGCTTCTCCGTCAAAGATGCCTTCGGCGAAGAGGATCACCGCCCGGATGACGGTCTCGTTGTTCGTCTCCAGGGCCACCTCGACATGAGGCTGCGTGACGCAGCATTTTATTGATGCACAAGCGACTTCTATCACACAAACTTTCACATGTGCGGTCGTCTGCAATGACCGCCATGCATCGCTCACCGGGATGCCGTCGGATCCGGAGTTGATAGCAAGGAGTGTCTTCAGTTGCGTGTTGGCCTGCGTGGTTAGAGAGTGATGCCAGCGAGCAAATAGCCACCACTACTAAAGAAGTCACAAAGAGCGGCGCGACATTCGCGAAGAAGCCCAACAGAAGCGAGATGTTTTTTTTCGGAATTATGACATTTTTATATTTATTAAAATATCTCGAACAGGACGTGGAGTCGAAAAAATCTTTTACTCAATTTGCACTACGAAAATAGCGCAGCTATGGGTGAATTCTGATTCACATATTTACTTTTAACAATGCCTTCAGGGTAGTCTCCATGTGGTCACTTGCACATTTGCGTGTGCACGATTAACGTCACTAGCTGGTTCCCTCAAGGTTTTATTTTAACACTCATCAACTGTGCAAAGTCGTCAACAAGAACGCTATTTGTGAACGTGATGATCGCTGAAGAAACTATTTGCTGGAAAAACGCAAATAAGCAAGTCCCTAGCGGCATTTGGCATATCCGACAGGCGGACACCAAAACCCGCCTATTATCCGACTGGTTCCGAAAAAAAGGGCTTTTATTCATGAAACAGATTACCCCACGTGGTGACAGGAATTAGTTACCCACCTTCGTTCGACGGAAATTGAAGTTACTCTCAGAGGCTACGCCACGGGTAGACAACCACCTCATGCACCTCTGGGAGGCGTGGCACAGCCTCGTCCGCAGATGGCGCCGCCAAAAACACAATCGGAAGCCCGAAATTAGCATTGCCGAGCTCACCCAACGAGTGGCAGAGTACGCGGCCCAGCTTGCCGACTCTAATGGGTTTGACCGATGCGACACAACTGCTAGACAAATGTCCAGCCGGAACACTTGGCGTCTCTTTCGTACCTTGATCGATCCGACCCATACCAGAGCCGAGACACAAAAACATCTCCAACGGGCTATCCATGTCTCTGACAGAGACACCTCAAAATTACCATGCTAACTCTGTAATCAAGCGATTATTACATATGTGTCTGACGTACATCAAAGGCCAGCGTATGATGGTTTCGAGAACGCGGAGCTGAATCAACCGTTCCGGCTCCATAACTTAAAGGAGAAGAATGTTCTTAAAGGAGAGAAAATAAAATAAATGTGAGCCCCGTAACTGTCTGCATCAGAGTGCGACTCCTCAACAGTGGCTCACGACGGAAGGGGGTAAGGAGGGATTAAAAAGGATAGAGTGAGAAGTAAGGATAAGACAGAGAAAGATGGGGACACGGTCGAAGGAGGACGGGGTACCACTCAGCGAGAGCTTCACGGCGTCAAGAGATGGCGGAGGGCGAGCCGGTCGGCCGGAGCTGCGTGGTCGATGGAGATCGCGCGGACACAACCGTTCGACACGGAATCCATCGAGCGAGTCCCGACCGACAGTCATGTATCCGAATACAAAATGAAGAACATGGTACCTACCTATTAGGTACCCTACAGGGCGGGGTCCTCTCACCCCTGTTGTTTAATCTGGCAATGATGAAACTACCGGCTCAGCTGGCGAATGTTGAAGGCATCCAGTAGTATGCCGACGACATTATGATATGGGCGAGATACGATTTCGTATGGGACATAGGAGCCAACCTGCAGTAAGCGGCGGAGATCGCCAACGCCCGCCGCTGCGGCTTTGAATGCTCCCCGACCGAATAGTAATTTTTTCACATCCGCTCCACGCCAAAGCGCACTGCCAAGATTGAATTGTCCTTGGAAAGCGGACCCACCCCAGAACAGGATGAGATTAGAGTACTGGGTCTGTTTATTCATAAACACCGCCGAGTCGATACAACATTGAGCAAACTACGGAAGGTGGGGAAACAGGTGGGCAGTATGATTCTCTGTGCTTCCAACAAGTGCGGGGAGTTGCGTTGCAGATACGCCGTGTGGCTAGCGCATGAATTCGAATCCAGCCGAGTGTTCTAGCTACTCGGCTCCTTATTACCTCCACCTACACAAGTTCGACGAGGAAGCCCTTGAGGTGATTCTCGGGAAGATATACAAGCGTAGCCTCGATCTCCCAATAACCACGTCCAACCAGCACCTTGTGTGCCTGGGAATGGTAAACACTTTCACAGAGCTCCGGGAAACACACTGGACGAATTAATACATGAGACGTTCAAAGACTCTGTCAGGTCGCCGCTGTAAATAAAGGAGGGACTAATGGAGGAGGTTCGTCACGCTTGTTTTGCGTGCCGTGCGCAAACAAATGAACCCTGAGACGACGTGGTAACGACACACGACGAAAAATAAACATAGAACACAGAGCCAGAAAAACCGTCAAGGCAAATAAGTAACAAAACTGTCTGACTGAAAGATGAAAGCAATAAACGCGAGTTCAAGGCGGAAAGTTTCAGAACCCCAGGATTAGGTAGGGGGCCGACGAACGCTGAGTTGCAAGGCAGGAGGCAGTGGAAAGTTGCCGTGGAATACGCTCACGTGTCGACGTGTGGCGCCCTAGTGACGACGGCGCATGATGACGTGGGTCGGACGACGGAGCAGTCAACCCGCATCGGAGACGCGATGCTTCATGCAGGGAATGGTCAGCCCGCCCAGCGAACAGCTTGCGTCGAGACGCGATGCTCGGCGCAACCGTGACTACTAGCCAGGCCACGTACGGTCGCTGTGCTGAACGGCTGACCGCGGAGACGCCTCGCCTAGATCTGCAATTCCCTCGGCAAGGAACAGAACAGCAGACCAGACCGCGCCCCGAGATGCAGTACTCGGGCCGGCGACGCCACCCCAGCTGGGGATTGGAGCGTGGCGAGCTGCGTTCCCTAGCTGGAACCTAGATCGCCTCGTTGTCTTCCGTCTGCCGCTGCTTCGGCTCGTCCCCAGCCAGAAAGCTTAACGCCTCGCAATGCTCACACGAGGCCCAATCAGGGCACGCCACCTCTATGGGCCACCACCGGTCATCAGCTGATTGGCTGACCTCACGTGCACAGTTGGCTCGAAATCACAAGCGCCTTGCCCTGCACTTTCGTTGTTGTCGTCGTTTTCTTCACTCATCACAGCCGCCTATTAGCTCAACTGCGCATCCACCATCCAACAGGGGTGGAGGAGCGCGTATGCATTCCAGAAGTCTCCGGCCCTCGCCATGTGGGATGGTACGCGGCTGCAGTTGTCCTCCAAAACGTCGTAGTGAATGGCCTCACACGTATAGAACACAGGACACAACGCATGCGTAGGAAGTTGCGATCGGCGCTAACTGCCGCAGACCGGGACTCGCATGTCATGATTTCAGACTTGAGAGGGGCAATATTCCTCGCAGGCACGTCCCACCTGGCGCACTGCATTTTACAAAACAGCAATTACGCTGGGGTCCCCGCGTCCCGTACGGTCATATGGGCTCCAGCTCACATGTTCCTCGAAGGCAATGAAATGACTGACGCCGCAGCCCGTGCGCTCCGGGTAATGCCTTCAGGCCCTTCCGAAATGGCATTTGAAAAAATGACTGAATTCTACTCATTCGGCCACTCAATTTATCCAAAACCCTGTTACAAAGGCGGAGGAGCGGTTACTCCTCCGCCTTTACGCCAAAACACTGCCGTGGCCGGCAGTACTGCCTGCACAGGAAAATGCCCTCACTGTGCGGAGAAGTCTTAGGACATCTTCCACGTACACGGTGTAGGCATGACAGTCTCCCCCTAAAACTGAACGCCACCTGTAATCACTGGATGGCAGCCCTTCTCGGCTGCTCCGACCTGGCGAGCCAGAAGGCCCTGATCAATTGAGTCGCGTTGGACGCCAATGAGCTTCTGCAATGGGGAGCTTGTGAGGGGTGGCCCGCACCGGGCCACCTCCCACCTACTTCCTGCACATACATAGAATAAAGTTTCTTTCTCCATGAGCGGAACTGCTGAAATTTTGAAGACATGCTTAAACACCCATTAGTTGAAACTTTCTTTTCATTCATTATTTTATGACGTGTTGGGCCATGGGATTTCACGCTCCCTGCTTCATAAAACATCTACCTGCCACCTACTTGGTGAAAGTGTTACGCTTCAAATAGATTAGTTATGATATGCCACCGACTTCCTGCATATCGGAATAAAGTTTCTTTTCCATGAGCGGAACTGCCAGCCCTGTCTGGTTAGCATTGCAACTTCTGCTAAGCCTACCTAAGTATTTCAGAAAGGCTCTCGGAAACGGTACAAAATGACGTGGAATGTTTTGCTGTCGAAGCGTCTAATAAAATTAAAAAGGGCCATGGCTCGATCACCCAACAATTTGTGGCTTGTAGTAAATAATTTACTGAATATATATATATATATATATATATATATATATATATATATATATATATATATGTATATATATATATATATATGTATATATATTATAAACTGAAGTAGGGTATATGATTCTAATGCATATATAACTGCAAAAATATATTTGGGCCTACCGGAATGGATCCGTACTGCTGGTCGCCGTCCTTGGACTGGGCCTCGTAGTTGCGCAGTTCCAGCATCAGCGTCTGCGGGAGAATCGGCCATAATGATGAGACATATCGAGAAACTTGAGTGCTATCGGGGACGAATTTGAGATGGCATCGGCCCGCAAATTGGACGACGACGATATCCAGAATAGTACCCTTGACAAGACACCGTGGTACACGCTTGCCGACAAGGCTTGTGCTCTAGTGGAAGTTCGTACGGTTTCAGTGGCGCCTGTCCCGTTGCTTATTTTCTACCGTTCCTTGTCCTTCATTTACTTACAGTGGTCACGAAGGAATGTGCGAAACTATAGAGTTGCAAACTGACAACCTCAAATGGAGCTCACTTGAAAGGGAAACAAAACAAACGTCTAGATATATTGAAAGAAGCACTGCGTCCCGTGTCCACCCAACTGCTTTCTTGCATCATGACCACGAAGTTTGGCGACAGGTGGGTGATGCCAAATGTCGCGTGTCGTGATCAATTGCGTCATATGGCGACATTGTCGCCAAGTCTTCATGATGTCCTCGTATGACTCGGTCGCTTCGACAAACGTGGGCTTATTTCGGAGGTGGAATACTACAAAGGGAGAGGGGGGGGGGGGGGGGGGGGTACGTGAACCACCAAGGGCGAGAATGACCTCGCGAGATTGAGTGTCTTCTTTTAGCGTAGGCTTAAGGGACTTTTAAAAGGCCACTCACCAGGTTTGACAATTTTGAGCTGACAACACAATACGTATATGGGGCGTCCACGATCACGTCTGTCACAATTTGCAACGCTACGCGCCGCAGAAACGAGTTAAGTTTCAAGATGAACGCTGCTCCCTTTTCGTTTCGCAGGTGCGCGCCGAGAGAATGAGTGCATGGCGTGCACGAATGTATTGCCCTACGTAGACGGCAGTGCAGTGATGTTGGCCCTCTATCTACGTATACGACTGTGCTCTGACGTTGCCAACAGTGGCACGTGACATGGCGAAAATTATGTAACACAGCATGCGTAGTTTATGTAATTTGTTGCTTGAAGAGAATAATAAGCTTGAGATAAATAGTGACACGCAATAAGGGAATGCATTTTCCCGTGAATTGCAACGAGATTAGGGAACGGGATTCTTAAATGAGAGAAAAGAAAAGTGAGCCGCGCATCTGTCTGCATCACAGTACGACACCTAAGCAGTGGCTCAAGAGGGAAGGGGATAAGCAGGGATGAAAAGAATAGCGTGAGAAGTAAAGATAAGAAACAAAAGGATGGGGCCACGGTCGAAGGAGTCCGAAGACGAGGGGCCACTCAGCGAGAGCTTCACGGCGTCAGGAGATGACGGATGCCAACGCGGTCGGCCAGAGCTGCGCTGTCGTGGGAGATCGCGGGGGCACAACCGTTCGGCACGGAATCCAGCGAGCGAGCGGGGCTAACGTGCCGACGTTCCGCATGAGACGACAGCGGTAGAAGCGAAAGTAACGCTCTTACGCGTTCGCGCATTCATTGTGCTAATCTATTCTGCCGCGTCTATAGTGAACTAGAATGGCAGCGGAGGCTACATTTCCGATGGAGGCTGAAATGTTGTAGGCCCGTGTGCTCAGATTTAGGTGCACGTTAAACAACCCCAAGTGGTCGAAATTTCCAGAGCCTTCCACTACGGCGTCTCTCATAATCATTTCGTGGTTTTGAGACGTTAAACCCTACATAAGAATCAGTGAACTAGATTATATTAAATGCGAAGCATTTCTTAGCGAACTTCGGCGACGTTGAACGTATCTATCTATATCTATCTATCTATCTATCTATCTATCTATCTATCTATCTATCTATCTATCTATCTATCTATCTATCTATCTATCTATCTATCTATCTATCTATCTATCTATCTATCTATCTATCTATCTATCTATCTATCTATCTATCTATCTATCTATCTATCTATCTATCTATCCGCCTATGACTTTTAGCTCTCCTGGTCTTTTCGATAATGGTATCAATACCAAACTTGGTGTGGCATAACATGACTGTATGACGAGAATAAGTGACTACTCAGAACATGAAAATCGTGACATGTCTGTCATGAATGTCATGATTTACATTTCATTGTCTTGGTGCCCTTGCGGTGGTTTCTTTCACATGAAATGTTTCAAAACTGGTGTGGTATGAGTCGTATGACATGACTACATGAAGAACACAAGCGACAAACCTTAACATCAAAATCATGACGTGTGCGTCATGTAACATGACTACATGCCACACTTATGATGCACTCGCGGCCGTTCGCTAGCTTCACTTATACCAAGCTTGGTATTACGGTACGTGAATGGATGATGAAGGTATGTGACTGGTGAAAACATGATAATCATAAGGTGCGTGTCATGTAACAACATGACTATGTGCCACGTTAATGTCGCGCTCGCGGCCGTTTCGCTAGCTTCACATTTACCAAGTTTGGTATTACGGGGCGTGAATGTATGATGAATGTATGCGACTGGTGCAAACATGATAATCGTGAGCGTGTCATGTAACAACATGATTACATGCGGCGCTCATGATGTGCTTGCGGCCGTTTCGCTAATTCCACATGTACCAAATGTGGTATTGCGTGACGCGAACGGATGACATGAATGAATGACACCTCCAAACATGATAAATATGACATGCGTGTCGTGTAACATGACTACATCCCACACTAATGATGTGCTCACGGCCGTTTCGCTAGCTTCACAAATGCCAAACTTAGTATTAGGTCACGTGAATGGATGACGAAGGTGTGTGGTGCAAAAATGATGATCACGAGACGCGTGTCATGTAAGAACATGACTACATGAAACACTCAAGGCGGCAAAACACTTCGACGTGACGCTGGCGATGCCACATTTTGACGCGCCCGGCGTCCCTCCGTCACGAAAAGAGCCAGACGCGGTGCTTTCGGGATAACGTCATCGGCGCGAAATGCTGCATGTCGCATTTTGTGCCTGTTGCCGCCGGGCTGCGCCGACGGACGCTGGTCGTGCCGCTCGCGCCTGGCGTCAGATTATGCTCGCGTTTTGCTAGCGTAGCGTCGCCAGGCCTCGGAAGGTCTCAAGTCCCGCCCATCACCGATGAAGGAGAAGGGGGGCGAAAACATCGACAACTAAAAAAGAACTATAGTGACTCCGTTCAAATCTGCCCTCGGGGACGCCGAAAAAATCCGCTAGCGGCGCCATAGCAAGCTTTAAAGCAAAGAGAGCCACCATTTTTGCAAAAGTGCTCTTTTCTATGTAATTGAAGGGTAACATTTGACTGTATACTTCTGAGCACTAAATTTGTTAACCGATCGTGGTACCATGCGAGTTCTACTATGGATTCTCTTATCGGTGACGGTGACGAATCGGAAAACATGCGCTGTCGGCCTGCCGCTGTTCGACGAAGGCAGCCGCCGCGCATATGCGCAGTTAGTTTTCATCCGATGGTTGGCCTGGTCCTCGGCGTTCCGTTTTCTTTCTAGCACGTTTTTATTCGCTTCGGTAAGTCGTTGCGATTGCTGTAGGTGTAGTCGCTGTACTGCTGTATGGTGCCGCAGGAACTGTCATACCGGTGAAGGCATCGATTTCTGCAAGTTCCACAGCGATGACAGGCAGATTATTTTGGCCAATGCGCGCATATTTGTTTTTTTTTTTTTGGTCGGTGATTTAACTCTCAGACCGTGTTATCGCAGTCAGTGTTGTGTATTTGTGCACTAAGTTCATTCGCACTGATCCTGCACATGTTCAAATGCTTGCGCTTATCTCGACTTCCGCTCCATCGGAATTTACTTGTGGAAAACCGAACCTCCTTGGGTCCTCAGCTTGACCGCACTATGTCGTAATGCAATAAAAAGTGTAGGTGTTGAAGCCGTGCTCGGCGAAAGCAGGAGCTGTAATTTGAAGCTGTTACAGAAGCACCTCATGCTGATTTTCACGAATGTTTTGTAATCATAGTTACCACTAACGAGATGCGCTTTTCTGTTCGTTTTGCCCCTGAAAACGAAGGCGTGCCCTTTGCGAACTCGCAATAATGCTTCTAACACGATATATATATATATATATATATATATATATATATATATATATATATATATATATATATATATATATATATATATATATATATATATATTGAAACGAGATTGCTGGTTTGCTGTCAATAAATGTTGTTCCCCGTACTCATTCGTGAATTGTTTTTACTGGTGCCAGCTGCCAATGAATGCCTTTCGGTTCCGTGTAACCTCTGTACACACAGGTACTGTGTTCCGAAGGGCGCTTTGGTGCGCTGCTGGGCGCGCTCAAATCAAGCGGGCGAAAGATAACGACACCCGTAGTCCTGCGTGAGTCTCGGTTTCTTTCGTCAACTTCTTTTTAAAAAGGATAGCTATAGAATAAAGAATCGGGCGAGGCAACCGCGTAGGCGCATACGCACCCGGTACAAGAGAAAAAAAGGAGGCCTTTTTTTCTTGCCTGAAAAAAAAAATTGTTTTCCGCTTCTTGTTTATTCAGCGCTATCTCTTGGTTGCCCTCGGCGGTTCCATGCGCCACGCGTGCGCGAGCGTCAACGTTACGTCGGAGCACAGTGGGCCCTTAATGCTGCACTCGCGGCCGTTCCGCTAGCACCACATAACCAAATTTGGTGTTATGACTGGTGCAAACACGATAATCAGGACGCGCGTGTCATGTAAGAACATGACAACATACCCCGCTCACGATGCACTCGCGGCCGTTTTGCTAGCTCAACGTATACCAAAATTGGTGTTACGTGATGTGAATAAAAAAAGGTAAATGACACATTTAAACATGATAATCAAGGCATGCTTGTCATGTAAAATTGACCACATGCTATGCTCATGGCACGCTCGCGGCCGTTTCTCTCGCTCCACTTATTCCAAATTTACTATCAGGAGACGTGAATAGATGAGGAAGGTAAATGTCACGTCCAAACATGATAATCGTGACATAGAAGTCATGCACGGCATAATTTACCTCCGCCTCGTAATGTTGTGCTGGTTTTAAAGTGACATATCAATCTTCCTCATTCGTGCTTCGCACAT